AGACACTGCATCTGATCTCATGAAGGTTTCAAGTTAGTAGGAGTTGTCTTCTTAGGCAATAGGAATAATAGTCTAAGGCTGATTTTAGGCAGGAGAGGAGAGAAGACTAGAAACTGGAAGTGGATGTTATGAAATAATATTGTGAAAAGCATATACATATAGCATATATAAAAACATACGTATGTATGAAATTAGATGATGAAATGCTCATAGAGTTGTCTAGATTCTTAGCTTTACAGATTAGAAATATTAACTACAAGTCATTAGGCAGTGATAGTTTAACTGAACTGATTGTATCCAGACTGATGTGAAATTGTAGCAATAGGTTTGTGACTCTTCTTAAACAAGGGCATTAGCAAGACAGAAATTATCCAATTCCTCCTCAGAGAAGATCTCAATAGAAATTAATTATGTAAAATCCAGAAATGAATGCATATACACCATTCATTAGATGAGCCATTGGGTCATTTTAAAATTTGAAAGGATATCAGAGGATAAGATAGAAGCATTTTAGTTAGCTTCAGACAGAATATTGCACAGAAGCTCTGACCCCAAGTAGGTGGAAGTGATAGAGAAACTTTTGATTAGTACAAAGAAAAAACTTGTAACAGAATGTTGTCCCAAAATAAATTTGCAATTGTCTCCAGAGTATGTAACAAGTGAAGAAATCACACGTAATGTTTGCACCTCCTGCAGTCCCATAGGATAGCCTCAAACTTTTCTTTTGTTGTGAAATCATAATTGACTTATTTTTCAGCCCTCTCTCAGAGGAACTTCATCTTCCAAAATCCTGAAACCTTTATGCTGCAATTCTCTGAAATAGTTTCAAAGGATTGAAGAAACTTGACTGCCATGAATTCTAGCTGCTATTTTTATATGTTTTGAGGGATAAAGGAGTCTATCTGATTAGCTTAAATTTCCATTTTGTTCTCACCTGTATTCTAAGGTCTGTGAAATGTCCGCATGGAGGCAAGAGCTTTTCTTGTAGTTTGATTTCATGTATTCACTGGCACTCAGTTTTCATAGAAGAGTAGTCATAGTTCTCCAAAAAAGTAAACAATTTTTGTACAGTTTTTCTCTGAGAAGCAAACAGAATACTACAACAGATTTTCAAACAAAATTATACTAAAAAAATGAGCAACTTTAAAAGCAGGTAATGAGAAATTGTGAATTTAGACAAATCTCTTAAAACAGTTTCATGCTGTGCATATGAAGCTTGTGATTTTTCCTGTAATTTTAACATTATCTAAATTGTTTAACTTTGGCATTGTTACTTTTCAAATATGTCTTCCTTTTTTAGAATGAAATAACAATATTTGCAACTACAATTTTATGTGAAAAAGTTCACAAGACAGAAGAGAAATATAAATTCAGGTAAGAATTATTATAAAACAGCCATATATTTCAGTCAGGTAATAGATTATCTAGATGTCTAAAATATATTTCTTCTTGAGTTTTGAAATATACAGTGTTATAAGCTAAAAGTGATCAAGGTGAGATTAAATATTGATAGCTCATTACCTGAAAGAAGATCAAGACTAAATCAGATGAGAATGTGAAAACTGATGGTTATAATACAGTCCTATGAGTATGTACTCTATTATCTTTTAAAAAATCATTTTACTGTTTAAAAGCATAAAATACTCATTTCTATTTCAATTATTTCACAACTAACACTGTTTGTTTCATTATTCATGAAGATAAACAGTTTCCTAGTCTATATTTTATAGTTTACATACAAACATTAACCAATACTACTTCACTCTGTTTGCATCAGCTTTTTTCTCCTACAGGTATACTGACAAATTTTCTAAATCAAAAATCATGACCAGGGCTGGCTAGTCAAATAGTTCAGCAGATTAAAGTGCCTTCTTAGGCAGACCAGGGACCAGGAGTTCGATCCCCGGACCTGCTGTGCCGGCCCTGCCCCCAGGGCACACTGAGACTGCAATTGAGACTAGGTATGGTGGCATGTGCCTGTAATCTCAGCACTTGGGAGGCTGTAAACATTCTGATCTATGCAGTGAGACCCTGTTGATCCTGTCTTAAAAAAAAAAAAAAAAACAAAAATTATGACCATGATACAGCATTTAATGTCAGAGTTGCTCCCAGAAGCCTGCTTATGCTAAGGCCTCTGGGCTCACAGAACCTTCTAGGAAATGCTTTTGTCATCTTCAGTTTAGTAATTAAGAATGTAATCCTTAAAAATCCAACCATATGTGTATTTATTTGTTGCTCATAATGTAGGCACAAGTGAAGAAACATTTCACATCATCTATCATGTGTTTTTAGTATTATATTCAGTTGTTTTGTTTATATATTTATACTTAATGTAATACTTGAACAAATACATAAATGCATATTATAGAACAAATGCTTAAAATATTGACTATACTTATTAATAAGTGATTAGACAGATTAAAAATGGATTAACCTAGACAAATGAATGCATTGTTTTCATTGGTACAGGATGAAACATTTGGTATAAGAACTTGAAATAAATTTACTTTCATTTGATCCTCTTTTGATTTCAAAATTAAGCTCAAATAATAGAATTTACTAAGGCAATGACTTTCAAAAAAACTTTACTGCAACATCATGTATGTAAAATTACATGTATTTAAGGTATAAAATGCAATTTTAATATAGTACACATTATGAAATCAACATCGCAGTCAAGCTAATTAAATTACAGTCTTATAGATGAAGGATAAATGTGTGAAATTGATTTTGAGATAACTTTTTTTTATTCTCTACATTGAGTTTCCTTTTCCCATTTCACATCAATAAACTGTTGATGCTTACAAACTATCTCATTAACTTTATATCTGAAAACCTTTATTCTAGTCTCCTATTTTATTTCAGGAATAAAATGCATTCATCATCATATATCTTTCTTTTTAAATTTTAAAAATATTTTATTTATTTGGTACAGGGTCTCACTATGGAACTCAGACTTGTAGTGATCCTCCTGATTCAGCCTCCCCAGCACTGGGATTACAGGCATGTGCCAACACACCAGAGTTTCAGTGGCCTTCTTGGCATGCAGGAGGTTCCAGGGCTGACACACATGCAGTACCAGGGATTGAACTCAGGACATTGTACTTGCCAGGCAGGCACTTAGGCTACTGAGCTATCTCCTCAGTCCACATCCTATATCTTAACCTGTCAGATTATTAATTTTTCCCATTAAAACCAAATTATTATCAACTAATTTCAAAAGATTTTAGATATTTGGTGCAGCAGAGGTGTGAGACTGAAGATTGGGAATAGTATTACTAATGCATAAGTCTAGTCATTTTTTTTTTTTCATTGAGTTCAATTTGTACGAATTTATTTTATGCCCTATTTTCAGAAAGTTGCTGAGAGAGGCAACGTATAAAGATACAAAAGAAGTCATGGGAACTTTGAAATCCAAAGAATTTAGGGCCGGGAAGATAGCTCAGTGGTTTAAGTGCCTGCTTGGCAAGTGCAAAGTCCTGAGTTTGATCCCTGGTACCAAAAAGCAAAACAAAACAATGAAATCGAAAGAACTTTATTTATTTATTTTTGTTTTTAGTACGAGGTTTACAGGGTCTTACTACGTAGATCTGACTTGTAGTGATTCTCCTGTTTTCAGCCTTTCTACCATACCCAGTCTCAAACGCAGTCTTAGCGTGCCTTGGGGGTGGAGGCGGGTTCATTTCAGTGTTGCGCTCTGCCTAAGCAGGAGCTTTAGTCTGTTGAGCTATCTGGACGGACCTCCAAAGAACTTTTATAACAGAGAGAGAAAAAAAAAGGAAAAATTAAACTTGTTACAGTTGCAAATGATGAGTCAAAGAGAAACTTTGCATCGTCTCTAATTTTAATTGCTATTATACACCTATTTCAACTTTGGGCAAGGCAATTTTCTTGATCATTTGCTGGCATTTATTATTCATATCATTCATCAGAAAAATAAATGATGTTTAGTTTAAGTGACATCAAAGAAGATAAAGGTAAGAAAATTCTTAGTTGCCTGATAATTTAATTAACGAGTATGTTTTACTTTAAAATTAAAAGCAAAAATATTTCAAAGTAACCAGAGTGTTTTGGCTGTCCAAGAGGGCCCCAAAATCCAAACAGTTAATTTGGATGCTTATTGGAAATTAATACTTATTTATTCTTAAATCTACTGAGGATTTATGGTTGAGTTCATTAAAATTTGTTATTTAATTTAATATAATCTTTTATATAGTCAACATTTGAGTTGATTCCCTTCTGAAGCTCCTAATATTCCTCAAATTGAGAAAATTTCACATGAAATAGATTCTTGACAAATTTATATAGAGGAAGAAGCAATAAATTTCACAGAATAAAAACATATAACTATATCACTGAGACTTTATTTTTGCATTTAAATAAAATTAATCTAGTTCCAGGAGCTAGAGACTTGTGTCCTTTTGCAATAACTCTTAGTAAAGTAATCAACTTCTTTGTAGTTTATTTGTGCTGCATTTAGTAGAAATGTCATATTAATTTAAAATGTACTTTTAGTTGCCCTTTTCATTTATGTATGTGTTATGTCTGTTTTATTACTACAGTAAAGCAGTGTTATTAAAGAGCAAAAATAAATATTAAATGTTAATTTAAGTTAAGGAAGTACCTTTTTCATAGATCTAGGACAGTTTAGACTTCAATATTTTTAAATTATTATCTTAATCACAAATGGCACATCATACATCAAAGTAGAAAGATATAAATTCTCAAACTATATTGTTTTGGCATTAACATTAGTTTTAAATACAAAATAGAGTACTTAACCTTGATTTTGTTAATATTTTTAGCCAGTTGTGTTACGTTAAGCAGCTATTATCTTTAGTTTTCTGGTACATAAACTTGGTAGGATTATGAATACAACAGTGTATGTCAACCGTAATGTCTTCTTCAATGTGAAGTGTTATTTGTGATTGTTGAATAAGAGTGGGAAGTTTACTTTCTGACTTTCTCTTTTAACTTATACCTTGAAGCAGAGATTTGCCATGGGTGACAAGGGACGAGACAACCATTCAGAAGTGACTGACTTCATTCTTGTAGGCATCAGGGTCCGTCCAGAGCTGCACAGTCTCCTCTTTCTGCTATTCCTGGTTATTTATGGGATGGTGCTTGTGGGGAATCTTAGCATGATTGGCATCATTGTGACTGACTCCCGGCTGAACACACCAATGTATTTTTTCCTAGGCAACCTGTCCATCATTGACCTCTCCTATTGCACTGTTATTGTACCCAAAGCCATGGTCAACATCCTACTTCAGAAAAAGACCATATCCTTTGCAGGCTGTGTAACCCAGCTGTTTCTCTACGCGCTTTTCATGGTAACAGAAGCCTTTGTCCTGGCAGCCATGGCCTATGACCGCTTCATTGCCATCTGCAATCCTCTTCTTTATAGTGTCCGCATGTCAAGAAGTGTCTGCATCCGGTTAGTGGCTGGTTCTTATCTCTGCGGCTGGGTCAGTTCTATCCTCCAAATCAGTGTAACATTCTCCATGTCCTTTTGTGCTTCCCGCGTCATTGATCACTTTTACTGTGATTCAAACCCAATTGAAAAGATCTCCTGTTCTAATGTTTTTATCAATAAGATGGTGTCACTTAGTTTAGCTATTGTCATTATTTTGCCCACAATAATTGTTATTGTGGTATCTTACATATACATTGTATCCACAGTTTTGAAAATCCCCTCCACAGAAGGGAAAAAGAAAGCCTTTTCCACTTGCAGCTCCCACCTGGGGGTTGTAAGTTTGCTTTATGGAACTGTCTCCTTTGTGTATCTCACTCCTCCAAATAACCCTGAACTTCGCAAGGTGGCTTCAGTATGTTACATTTTGTTCACACCTATGTTAAATCCTTTAATTTATTCCCTAAGAAATAAGGATGTCAAAGATGCCATGAGAAAAGTCTTATGGAAGAAAAAGGTTTTACTCTAAATCCATTTGTACTTGCTTTGTTGTTTCTTATATTACTTGATTTCTGTCCCCTGGTATTCGAGACTTAGACTTTTTAAAAATTAATTTAGGACAGGGTGTACAGGGTCTCACTATGTACACTGGACTTGTAGTGATTCTCCTGTTTTCAGTCTCCAAGTGCTGGGATTACAGGCATGCACCATCACGCCCCGTCTCAATCACTGTCTCAGTGCACCCCAGAGACAGGCCAGAACTGCAAGCAGGGGATCGAACCCCAGCCACTACACTCTGCTTAAGTAGGTACTTTAGTCTGCTGAGCTATCTGGCCAGCCCCAGACTTAGACTTTTAGAAAAGAGAAACCTCAAATCCTCAA